CCAGGAGCGCCATGGTGGCCACGCCCTCTGCCCGTACCCCGCAGCATCAACTACGAACGATGGGGCGTGAGGGAAGAGTCTTGTCTCCACTGCCTGGCTGCCATGACGTTGGCTATGCTGTTTCACGAAGCCGTGCTTGGGGGCGACTCTCCTCAAGGGGGGCTGCTGGTGAGGAGGGGGCCATGGGGGAGGCGGGGCTGGGGCAATGGTGCGCATGCCCACAGAGAGGGCTCTGAGTGGTTGCCACTGGCACGCGTGCCATAGGTTCACCACCACTGGTATAGGCTCTCCTGCTTGAGCAGGGGGATGGACTAGAAAACCTCCAAGGTCCCTTTCAACTCTGTTATTCTGTTCTGCTTTATTCCTTTGACTGCAAAGATATTCAAGTACCTTTTACTCCAGTTTGGGTTTGCTTGGTGACCTACAAGCACAGCAAACTGTTCAGGTTGGGTAGGGAAGAAGCTTCCCATCAAGACACATGTCCCTGTGATTTAGTAAGCTGGCAGATGCGGTATTCTTTTTCTTGCAAGACAAAACCAGGACTGTCCCAACTTTCATCTCTCATCTCCAAGAAAACACCATTTACTGTTATTGTTGTTAGTTGGGAAGTCATGTCCGACCCATCGCGACCCCATGGACAATGTTCCTCCAGGCCTTCCTGTCCTCTACCATCTTCTGGAGTCCATTTAAGCTCATGCCTACTCTTCAGTGACTTCATCCAGCCACCTCATTCTCTGTCGTCCCTTTCTTCTATTGCCCTCAATCTTTCTCAGCATCAGGCTCTTCTCCAGTGAGTCCTTCCTTCTCATTAGGTGGCCAAAGTACTTGAGTTTCAACTTCAGGATCTGGCCTTCTAAAGAGCAGTCAGGGTTGATCTCCTCTAAGACTGACCGGTTTGATCGCCTTGCAGTCCAGGGGACTCACAGGAGTCTTCTCCAGCACCATAGTTCAAAGACCTCAATTCTTTGGCGCTCAGCCTTTCTTATGGTCCAACTTTCACAGCCATACATTGCAACTGGGAAAACCATGGCCTGGACTATATGCACTTTTGTTGGCAGGGTGATGTCTCTGCTTTTTAGTATGCTGTCTAGATTTGCCATAGCTTTCCTCCCCAGGAGCAAGCGTCCATTTACTGTAGCTGAAGTCAATTGTATTTTTAAACACTGGAAATTACCTTTCAGAAATAATGCACAGGATTTCCCTGCCCTTACTGGAAATAGACTAAAATGATATGTTTCTACAGTATCGTACAAAGGGTTCTAGAAACTTCTCCAGAAATTACTACGTTGATTTCTAAAGTATCTTGTACTCATTGTGCTCCTTCCCACAAGGTAGATTTGATTCAGGAAAAGAGTTGGATGGGAGAAGAAAACACTCAAACTGCTGACATGTGTTTGGCAAAATGCTGATGGGCTGCTTATGTTAGGAGCAGCTGTTGTTTTCAGAACTGACAAATGTTTAAATGACTGAGGAACTGGAAAATTGCTTAACATTAAATGGAGACCATTATGGTGGGGAGAAGAAGGAAGATTCTCAGCAGAATCCAAGAAGTAAAGATTGGAGGAGAGGGAAGACTTGTGGAAATGTACAAATTCATCCCTAATATTGCACCCTTGCTATTAAATGGCAATGGGATTTTGATCTTTTCAATTCCCTAAATGGGTGCTATTAAAAACAACAACAAGACCACGGAATACATTAACATATACGACTAAGATAGGTTTTCAGAACCAAAACAACGCAAATCACAAAGAGACTAATTTTCAAGATCGAATCTGGATCGGTCACTGGATCAGAGGATCAGAGACTCTTCCAATCGCCGGCCATCAACAGACCAATCAACCAATAGGAAGGCACCACATAAATACGACTGACAAGAACAGCCCAAAGCACATGTTCCAGTAGAGCAGGGGTCTTCAAACTTGGCCCTTTGATGACTTGTGGACTTCAACTCCCAGAATTCCTCAGCCAGGCTGAGGAATTCTGGGAGTTGAAGTCCACAAGTCATCAAAGGGCCAAGTTTGAAGACCCCTGCAATAGAGAGAAATTCCCTGAGGATGGGAGTCTGAAAGCTCGGAAGAGTAAACCTCTGGTCCTGGTGACTGACTTAGATTCGATTTTGCAACATTATCCTGGGACACGTAAACAAGCGGTCCTCGATTTACAACAGTTTGCTTAGTGACTATTTGAAGTTACAACAGCACTGAGAAAAGTGACTTATGACCGTTTTTCACACTTATGACCGTTGCGGCATCCCCATGGTCATGTGATTTACATCTGGACGCTTGACAAGTGACTCACATTTATGACAGTTGCAGTGTCCCGGGGTCACGTGAACATTTTTTGCAACCTTCTGACAAGCCAAGTCCATGAGGAAACCAGATTCACTTAACAACCGTGTTACTAATTTAACAACGGCGGTGATTCACTTAACAAACATGGCAAGAAAAGTCATAAAAATGGGACAAAACTCACTGAACAAACTTCTCACTTTGCAAGGTAAATTTTGGGCTCAATTGTGGTCGTAAGTTGAGGACTACCTGTGAGACTTGTTTTCATTTTCCCTGCTACACAGCAGCATCCCTAGCCCAGGGGTAGGCAACCTCGGCTCTTTTATGACTCGTGAACTTCAACTCCCAGAATTCCTGAGTCAGCTATGCTGAGGGGAAAGGGAGAGGTTTCCAACCTGACCCATGCTGACTCAGGAATTCTGGGATTTGAAGTCCATGAGTCATAAAAGAACCGAGGTTACCTATCCCTGCCCTAGCCTTAACCTGCTTGTTGGTGTGGCAGTGAAGTTCCCCCAACTGGTAACTTTGGGGGACTTCAACCTTCGCCATGACAACCATGGATCTGACCTGAGTTATCAGGGGTCCAACACACATGAGAGGCCACATCTTACGTCTAGTTTTAGTCTTGGGACAGGGACAACATGATATGGGGCTCTGAACTTATCCCTAGTACTGGAAGCTTCCTCTCTGATTCCTGTGAAGTTTTCTGGCATGACCAATGAAGTATGTGAACTCAGCCCCCACCCCAGAGAAAGAAATAGTTTTGGAAATATTTAAAAGACAGAATATATTTCCCTAAAGGATTTTAAAAGCAGAAACCAAACTTGTCCCCAAGTCTCTCTGTCCCAAACAGGAACCAAGTCTGCAGAAATGCAGATGTGATAATCTTGTCAGAAAGACTGGAATCAGGAAACTGGGATTAGGAAGAAAGATCCCCAGAATCAACATACCAAAATTTTAAGTCATCAGCCACAGCCACAGCCACAGGGAAGCAGGATATGATCTTTGGGACATAATAGGATTAACCCACCACCATCAGAATACCAGAAAGGCACACGTAGACTCAGGTCAAAGTTCATGCCACAGGAACAACTCCAAACAAAAGGCTCCAGAGGGTATAAAAACCCACTCCCTACATGTGCTCACCCCTTTTTCTTCCAGAGCCATCTTTCTGTCTGGCTCTCCTCTTCAATAAACTGCAACTTTCTTTCTAAAGCAGTTGCCATGTTGTTTATTCCCGGCTTGGACTGAACCATGATGAAGACTTTTCCTTCAACAGAAGTGAGGAAAGATCTGTTAGATTGCTCTGCCCCAGACACTTGATAAATAGATTTTCAAAAGCTTCTCGGTGAGCTTCCTGTGGATCTAACAGGAAGTTTGGCCTCTCCCATATTATGCCTCCTGCATAATCAGTAAGATAAATCCCAGTTGTCTTGCCTCCCACTGCTATCAAAAAAACTTGGAGGCAATGCCTCAGTTTGAACCATAAGAAGGGAACGAAGAAGAGAGAGCACCAAAATCTATGCAACTTCAAAATAAAGACCACACTCGGAATATTGCATCCAGTTTTGATCGCCATGATGTAAATATAAAAGATGTTGAGAAAGAGTGCAGACAAGGGCAACAAAGATGATTTAAAGGACTGGAGGCTAAAACATATGAAGAACGATTGCAGGAATTGGGTATGTCTAGTCTAGTGAAAAGAAGGACTAGGGGTGATATGATAGCCGTCTTCCAATATGTGAGGGACTGCCACAAGGAAGAGGGGATCAACCTATTCTCCAAAACAGGATAAGAAGAAACGGATGGAAACTAATCAAGGAGAGAAACAACCTAGAAATAAGAAGAAATTTCCTGAAGTGAGAACAATTAATCAGTGGAACAACTTGCCTCCAGAAGTTGTGGGTGCTCCAGCACTGGAGGTTTTAAAGAAGAGACTGGACAGCCGTTTGTCCGAAATGGTATAGGGTTTCCTGCCTGAGCAGGGGGTTGGACTAGATGACCTCCAAGGTCCCTTTCAGCTCTGTTATTCTGTTCTGTTTTTTCTACAAACGCCAGCACTGTCCAAAGCATATTTTGTTGACTCAGTGTGTTTTTAGATTACAATTCAGCTCACAGGAATATGTTAGCAGGCTGGAAGGGAATAAGCACACAAACCCGACCTTTCTCGTTCTGTAGCACATATTTGTTTACAAATGAACAGCCCAGGAAAGTCTGTCTTTACAGGCTATATTTTAGCAAGCCCAAACCTTTCTCCTAATTCAGTGCTTTTTGATCAGAGACCCAGCAAGAGTTTCCGTCTCATGTGAACAGCAAGCTTCCTTTGGGTGCCAGAAAAATGGCGACTTTCTTTTGACTAAGCACAACATTGTTGTTTTTTCCCATTGGTGGCAACCAGCAAATAAATATACAGTATTTTGCAAAGTTTGCACCATGGAATATTTTCTTTCCAGGCTAACATGAAATTCTCTTTAACTGTATTCTTTCCCATTCAAAGTTTGTACAGAAAAGTTTTAGCCCCATAGGTCATGTCACTTTCCCTTGAATACTATGTTATTTAAATCCAAGACAGCGTGCCATTGTTTTGGTGAAAATAAAGGGATTACAGGGTGTTTAAATGTTTCAAATACAGGTCGTCCTCAACTTACAACCATTCATTTAGTCACTGTGCGAAGCACTGAAAAAAGTACGACTGTTTTCCATACTTACAACCATCGCCGCATCCCCGTGATGGTCACGTGATCAAAGTTCGGGTGCTTGGTAACTGATTCATATTTCTGACGGTTGCAGTGTCCCAGGGTCATGGGATCCCCTTTTGCGACTTTCTGACAAGGAAAGTCAATGGGGAAGCTGGATTCACTTAACAACGGTATTACTAACTTAATGTAGAGATTCATTTAGCGAGAAAGGTTGTAAAATGGGGCAAAACTCACTTAACAACTGTCTCAGTAAGCAAATTTTGGGCTCAGCTGTGGTCGTAAATCAAGCACTGCAAATTTTGGGCTCAGCTGTGGTCGCAAATCAAGCACTGCCTGTATTAATCGTCAGTATGTCTTCATACAGAAGGATAGAATCAAGATCATGTGAAATATTAATACCACTTTACAAGGCCTTGGTAAGGCCACACTTGGAATACGGCATCCTGTTTTGGTCACCACGATGTAAAAAAGATGTTGAGACTCTAGAAAGAGTGCAGAGAAGAGCAACAAAGATGATTAGGGGACTGGAGGCTAAAACATATAAGGAACGATTGCTGGAATTGGGTATGTCTAGTTTAAGAAGAGAAGGACGTAGGGGGGACCATGATAGCGGTTCCAATATCTCAGGGGGCTGCCCCAAAGAATAGGGAGTCAGCTGTTTTTCCAAAGCCACCTAAGGCAGGGGACAAAGAAGCAAAACGGAGGGAAACTAACAAAGAGAAAAGCAACCTCGAACTAAGGAGAAAAAAGTTCTGACTTTTACAACAAATAATCAAGTGAACAACCTGCCTCCAGAAGCCGGGAATCTACAACACCGGAAGTTTTTAAGAAGAGACTGGACAGCCATTTGTCCAAAATGGTATACAGTTTCCTGCCTGAGCAGGGGGTTGGACTAGATGACCTCCAAGATCCCTTCCAACTTTATTAGTGATCATCGCACAGTCAGCCAGATGTTCAGACTGGATCTGGTATTTTTGTCTACCTATCAAGTCCTTACCAAGGACCTGGGATAGGCAGATGTGGATGTTTGATGGTATTACATTATTATTATTATTATTATTATTATTATTATTATTGATCATCGCACAGTCAGCCAGATGTTCAGACTGGATTTGGCATTTTGTCTACCTACCGAGTCCTTACCCAGGACCTGGGATAGGCAGATGTGGATATTTGATGATATTACAGATATCGTCGCAGGATGGAAGCAGTTCTTATTATTACTATTATTATTATTATTAGAAATGAATCTAATTAGAAAGACTCAAAACAGTAGCTAATATCCAAAAAAAGAATAACCTTTTTTACTTCCTTATCATCTCCAGCACAGTATTTTGTAAGACGCAACATGTACATTCCTCTGTTCCTAAACCACGGTCAAATTTCCACCGATCTTTTAAACCCCCCCCCGCAAAAAAAAAATCTCTTTTTTGTTTTGTGATCATAATAATCTGATTAATCTTCCCCAAATCCCTGTAAACTATGCTATTATTTCTCGCATTCAGCCTTTGTGCAGTGGTTGAACAAAACAGATTGCCCGAGGCCACCCACAAAGTCCCCAACTGAGATCCAGGTGTTCCAGGTCTTATTTTAATATTCTGACCATCAGACCATGCAGAGTTTATGACTTAAATAGCAATTATGATTTGATGGTGGGCACGCTGTGCCTAATCGTCTTATCACCAGGTGCAAACAGTTGCCATGAATAGGAGGAAAGCAGGTGCAGGAACCTTACTGTATCAGCTGAGCGTGCATCAGCTTCCTCACCGATCAGCAGAAAAAACACCTTGTCTTTGGTATAATTAGGATGACAGGTGTGAAGAGAGCACCGATTTTATCAGACAATAAAGATTTGCCTGGGAGATAATCAGCACTACAGGAATTTCGGCCTTGTCTGTTGTATCTTTTTCTTTCGTTTCTCCACCATATGCCTGTATTATTTTGCTGTCCTGGAACCAATGAAAGGATGTGAAAAAATAAAGAGGGTTAGACAGACAGCTCCCATACCATCTGTCTCAGCTGTCAACTCCTCAGAATCAAGGAGGCAAACCCAGAACAGGCGAGAGGAAAAAAAAATGTATTTAATAAGCATCAAAATCCCACTGCTAGGTCTAAATTTGAGGTCAGTCCTACACGCATACAAATTTATTTCCTACAATTCCTGCATTGTTTGCCAGATTAAAACAAACCTCATGAAAGTTTACAGTTTTTTGGTACTCAGTTTCTCCAATGTGTATTTTTCTGTGCAATCTTCCCTAAGGTGTGGTTTTGCAAGCGAATTTCCTTAGCGTACACATTTATGGGTATGCAAGATACAAGTCGAGAAACTAAAAAGCAAAAATGGATGCAGTTTGAAAAAAATGAGAGTGTTTTATTCTAGGAGTTGTTCATCATCCCAAGCCACAAGTGATCAGAACAGTCCAAAGCCACAACACTGATAGTGAGCAAATAACCTTGGACACCATCCATTCTCCTCCAAATATATATATTTTTTAAAGTCAAAGTTACATTCTTTCATAAAATCTCAAAGTCAAAATCTCACGAGATTTAAAAATCCCCCAACTTTTGGGAAAGGGCAATTGAAGTAGAACCCAAAGCCATGCAATCACAGAACCCAAAGAGCTTGCCAAGTTGTGTTCTTTTCTATTGCACATTTCCAGAAAGGTTTCCAAGTCATTTCCAGATATCTTTAGGCCATCTAAATATTCTGAATGAAGCAATGTTTGAGCAGGAAATCCTATTGGTGTTTGCCACTCATGTTCATATCTTTGCATATCTAGAATACAGAAAAGGATATTCAATTAGAATTTGTTCTTTTTGGCCAGTTATTGAATACGAAGATGGCTCAACCAATCAAGTGCTTGTTTGGCAGTAAATAAGGAATCTCTTGTCCAGTGGTGGAATTCAAATACCTGAACAACCAGTTCTCTTATTCGATGCAGCCTCTGAGGACTAGAACGGACTTCTGGAAGTGGCATCCATGCATTTCCGATGGGCTGTTCTAGGCCTCCTCCATTCTCCTCCTCTAAACCTCCTCCGTTCTTCTCCTCCTCCGAGGCCTAGACTGGACTTCTGGAAGCCAGACGGTTCTCCAAATACAGCAAAGTTTAGCTGCCGGTTCTATAGAACCGGTGCAAACCAGCTGAATCCCACCACTGGTCTTGTCCCTTCAGCTTTTGTACTATATCCTGGTAACCCAGACCCATAAATCTTTCATCTGCTAACCTCATTATGGAACGTCCCTTGGCATATGTATGCAAAAATATACTCATGCCATCTTTCCGCCGTAATACAGTTCCATGGAGTGGAGGTAAAATGGGTCATGCACCCTCCCATGCCCACGCTCATTGCCTTCATTCAAGAAGCAAAACTTTTGGGGAGATAGAAGTTGTTTATTGGCGCAAGCTGTCACAGAAAGAGGCTGAAGTGCAGCCTACACAGAAAGAAGCTGAAGTGCAGTGGAAGAGTAATTGCCCATGGCATTGACCAGAATGAGCAAGTTTGGTCTAATGGTTACGGGACCAGGCGAGAAAGCAGGAAGTTGTGAGTTCACGTCCCACCTTAGCCATGAAAGCCAGCTGAGTGACTTTGAGCCAGCCAATCTCTCTCAGCCCAACCTCCTTCACAGGGTTGTTGTGGTGGGGAAAATAGGAGGAGGAAGGTGTGTTTGCCACCTTGAGTTATATGTAAAAAGAGGGAAAGGAAAGGAAGGGAAAGGAAAGGAAGGGAAAGGAAAAAAGAGGGAGTCAAGCTATTCTGCAAAGCACCTGAAGGCAGGACAAGAAGCAACTGGTGGAAACTAATCAAGGAGAGAAGCAACCCAGAATTAAGGAGGAATTTCCTGACAGTGAGAACAATTAATCAGTGGAACAACCTGCCTCCAGAAGCGGTGAATGCTCCAACACTGGAAGTTTTTAAGAAGAGACTGGACAGCCATTTGTCCGAAATGGTGTAGGGTTTCCTGTCTGAACAGGGGGTTGGACTCGATGACCTCCAAGGTCCCTTCCAACTTGATGATGATGATGATGATGATATTGATGATGATGATGATGAAAGGAAAATAAGTTATTTGATTATTGTTCCAATGATATCCCTACCTGGAAGAATACTCTTTGGTCGTTGATGAAGGTCTTGGTGAAAATCACAATGTTTTCCTAGGATCAAAGGGTAATGAACTAAAGGATACCCAACCCAGGCAGGCCTTGAAAGACAACTTGAAGACAAGTAATGACTTCTCTATCAATATGGAAAAGGATTTTGAAATCGTGGGAGGAGGGGCTGCTCAGTAATCTTAATCTTTAGAATGCAGAGGAAAATAATCTGGCAGTTCTGGAATTAACAAGATTCAGAGAGAAAAAGAGAAGAGACTCCAACAGACAGAAAGGATTTTTCCCTGGAACTTAAAAGGAAACATCCACACGTATAGAAGAATCATGGACCTAATTGCAAAGGATCCTTTCCCTATTGGCTCCTTTGCACAGATTAAGGTAGATTCTAGTCAAAAGGGGAAAGAAAATAACCCCTCCAAAATTTTGCAAGTGAAATGCAGCGATTGGAGTCATATTGCTCCATTCTAGAACTCCGTCCAGGATTTTTTTTTTTTTTTAAATATCCGGGCTCAGTCACAGAACACGTGCAGCATAACTGGTCTTTGAACTTTTGCAGAAATGATTTGTTAAATATGCACTGAATAACAAGCAGTTCTGCAGAGCTCTTAAACAAACCCCCGTACAAAAATGTTTCTGCCTCTTTTCTTTCTGGGCAGCTGCAACTCATGGAAAAAAAAAAATACCAAAAGCTCATTAGAGTTGAGAATATGCTTCCCTATCCTTCCACAGGCAGAGCAAAGGAGAGCTCAGAGCATCTTCAGAGAACAAAGGCCAGCTTTATTTATGTGGCAAAGAGAAGCCCTAGATTCCAGTTCTCCTGAATGTTTAAGGCAGTGGTGGCGAACCTATGGCACGGGTGCCAGAGGCGGCACTCGGAGCCCTCTCTATGGGCACACGTGCCGTTGCCCCAACTTCGCCTCCC